AGTCCTCACAGGAGGGGCCCTGTGCTAAGATTTCTTAGGCAGAGGAGTTGCCTCTGGTGGCAAAGCTTCCAGAGGCCTTAAGCTCCAGCAGCTCCCTGCCCGGTCACCCCTCGGCGAGGCCCTGTCTGTGGTGCCCTGCACTGGCCCAGGGCTCCAGGGCCAAGCCAATAGTCAGGGATGAGGTTTCAGCCTGATCTTTACCACCAGCTGCATGTGGCTAGGTTGCTGGGAATTTAGATGTTGGTGCCAGAGAGAGGACAGCTGACCCCAAGGAAGGAGCCATGCTAGAGGCAGAGGGATCGGGCTCGGGGTCTCATCCCCAGGATCCTGCCTTCAGCTGGCTAGCAGGAGTGAGGGCTCCCAGGGACAAGTCATGTCCACTTAGGCCTCAGTTTCCATCACAGGTCAGTCATCCCTGGGCATCACACCCAGGGGTGATGAGTCCCTGTCCCTGGTCTTCAGAGCACCCCGAGTCTGATATGGGGAACCCAGCTCACATCCTGGAGAACACTAGGCTAGTGGAGGGAGACAGGCCTTGGCTTCAGATGACTTTTTTTCTGCTCCAGTGTAACCATCTTACCAGTTTACAATATCCACAGGCTCTCTTTAAAAAGGGTTTTGTTTTTAGATCTCTCTGCTTGAACTCCTCCACAGCCACCCACCCTCTATCACTCTAATACTGACACCACAGCAAAGCACAAAGATACTCTTCGCTCTTCTGGGTACAACGCCCGGGGGGTGAGAGGGTGATTTGCTGGTAAATGACTCTTTCCTTCTATGTCAAGGAGCTTGGTTAGTTTGAGGCTCCTTTGTGGATGTCTGCTAAGTGTATGTTTATCCAGAACTCTCTTTTGCTTGAAAGGACCAGGGGAAATACACATTCCGACCTCCTAGAGACTGCATGAGGTGAGGCAAACATGTCCTATGAGAGAGAATTGCCCTGGGCACAGAAACAGGACTAGAGAGTGGTCTCAGGGAAGGAGAGGTAGGTTAGGGCCCTTGGAAAATTCCCAGAAATGAGAGGCAGGCGGGGCGTGCCTCTGGGACAGTCCTGTGGTATGAAACCGAAGGGAATTAATGCAGTCACATGGAGATGCCACTTAATATGGGGATCACAGGATCACAGGGAAAGTTAGCATTTCAGAATGAGGCCAGTCTGCTGAGTGAGGACAGGCCAGCAGGAGGTCAGGCGGGAGGGTGTCAGTTGGTAGAAAGGCTGCAGATGCCATGCAGGGTTGAGATGTGTGGCACAGCTCCTTGCAGCTCCTTGCAAGGAGAGTGCAGAAGGATTGTACTCCAAACCCAGCCGGAGGGGATGGGGTCTGTTTCTAATCTGAGCTGTCTGAGTCAGGCTGCTCTGCGGGGTGTCCAGAGCCCAGCCAGAACCAGGACTTGGGGCTCCCACTTCCCCACCCTCGTTGGTCTCAGGGAGTTCTTTAGATTTTTTTAGGAACCATCTCCTCCACATGCTGCTTACCTAGCATCCCTGGCTCCAGCTGGCCTTGGTTTCTCTACCTGAGAAAGTGCCTTTCGGACTTGGGTTCTTGGAGTTGGTTAGGGCTCGATTTAGCCGGGAGCCAGGTGAAGGTTCATGGGAGTATCCTGCTGGCATGTCTAGGGAGCCCCTGCCCTGACTCCTGCCAGCACACAGCCTCTTGCTGGCTGGTCCAGAAGCCCCCAGGACAAGGGTGGCAGCATGGTTGTCAGGGCCAGGTGGCATGGCTGCCGTGAGGTGAGGTGGGGTGGGATCCATGACCCCTCTTCAGCATTGTCCTGCAGGAGACAGGCAAGGGGCATTTTCTTCCCAGTCAACTGCTCTTCCTTTCTCCTTTCAGGCTTAGGGAGCTGTGGCCACTGTGTTGAGACTCTGGAGAGGTGAGAGAGCTTCCGTCATTCCTGTTGGAGCCTGGCAGAAGCTCTCTTGGGGAGGGGGGGGGGCTTGGTCCTCGAAGAGACTTAACATCATCTCCAAATGAGTCCTCTGCATGTGCACAGGAAAATCAGTGATGGGAGGAGAGGCTACTTGAGTTCTACTGACCACCAGCTCTGTGTCCATTCCCATGTCAGGCCACAGGCACTGACCAACAATTAACCACTTTGTAAATCCTATAGCAAGCCCCAAATAACACAATTACATTGAAAGGCATTTTATGTCTATGAGTATAAAGCGATAAATGGTTAAATATAAATATTTAAAACACATCCATTTTTATCCCTGTCTTATCAGCGTGTGTGTGTGTGTGTGTGTGTGTGTGTGTGTTGCTCCTGGGTCTTGAACTCAGCGCCTTGTACTTTCCTTTAGTTTTTTCCACTTAAGAAAAGTGTTCTTAGGGGGCTGGGAAGGTGGCTCAGTGGTAGAGTGCTTGCCTTGCATGCATGAGGCCCTGGGTTCGATTCCTCAGCACCACATAAGCAAAAAGAAAAAAGCCAGAAGTAGCGCTGTGGCTCAAGTGGTAGAGTGCTAGCCTTGAGCTGAAGAGCTGAGGGACAGCGCCCAGGCCCAGAGTTCAGGCCCCACAACCGGACCCCCCGCCCCCCTCTCAAAAAAAAGAAATGTGTTCTACCATTTGAGTCATGCCTCTACTTACAGCTTTTTGATAGTAAATTGGAGATAAGAGTCTTGGAGATTTGCCTCCCAAGCTGGTTTTGAACTATGATTCTCAAATCTCAGCTTCCTGAGTAGCTAGAATTATAGGCATGAACTACCAACTGATGGCTTTATCATTTCTTCTTAAAAAAAAAAAACATTGTACAAGACACTATATTGAAAACGAACTTTACAATTTTGGGGTGTGGAGGAAGGAGTTGCAGGGGGGAGGAAAGGGATGGTAGGAGAAAAACAAAGGCGGAGGTAACAATGCTCGATAGGAAATGTACTCATTACCCTATTCATGTAACTGTAACCCCTCTGTACAGCATTTTTACAATAAAATATATATGAAAAAAACAAATTAAAGGGCTGGGAAGTTGGCTCAGTGGTAGAGTGCGTGCCTTGCATGCCTGAGGCCCTGGGTTCGATTCCTTAGCACCACATAAGCAAAAAGAAAAAAGCCGGAAGTGGCTCTGTGGCTCAAGTGGTAGGGCACTAACCCTGAGCTGAAGAGCTGAGGGACAGTGCTCAGGCCCAGAGTTCAGGCCCCACAACCGGACCAAAAAAAAAAATTAAATAAAACAGAGGTCTCTAATATTGCAATTGGCTAGGTTCCTCTCAATTGCTCATCATTCCTGGTAGGTGTTGTGTTTGTTTATAACAGCACTAGACTTCATGCTTGCTAGACAAACACTCTGCTATTTGATCCATACCCCCCTTAACCTTTCCTAGTATATATTTTTTGAGGATAAAGCTTATTGCCAAAAAAAGTACAACCAGGAAGCAAAATGGTACCCCCTATCTATCTATTTTTTAGGATTCTGGATACCTGTTGGACAGTGGTAGTTCATGCCTGTCATCCTAGCTATTCAGAAGGCTGAGAGCTGAGGATCCCGGTTCAAAGTTATCCTGAGCAGAAAAATCCATGAGACTCTTATTTCCAATTAACTACCAAAAAGCTGGAAGTAGAGGCATGGCTCAAGTGATAGAGCTCGAGCATTGAACAAAAAATTGAAGGACACTGCCCAGGCCCTGAGTTCAATCCCTAGTACTAGCACACCCAAAAATTAAATGACCAACTATATAAAAAATGGAACCTTAGCAATGAGTGAGGGGGTGTGTCTTGTGTGGCAGAAATAGACTATTCACCTCTTCATCCCTGATGGGATCTTGGGGGAACAGCCTTCTTGAATGATATAGCATTTAGTGTTACTGAGGAGTAACAAGGGAAGTGAACCATGAACCAAGTTACTACTCTATGTGCTGTCTGCAAGTCTCCCTGCTCCCTACCAGGCCCTGAAGCCCATCTCCTAAAAGGAGAAGTTGCACTCATCATGACAAGGGCTAATGAGGTGCTGTTCTGCTTTGGTCCACATTCTGGCTCTGCATACTCCTGCTAGCATTTCCCCTTCTATTAAATGAAATTAGTCCTCAGTTCTGCCTTGAAGGATTGAATGAGTTAATACATCTAAGGACTTAGAAGAAGGTCTGTCATGTACCAAGAGCTCTATGAAGGTCAAGTACTATTATTATTTCATTATTGTTAGATGTCCTCAGAATTTCAGTCCAGCTCTGGTCTTTTGTAAGGATCTACTCTGTTCCAATAAAAGATGCCTATGGTGACCACATTGCTCCAGAAAACTGGAAAAGGGGACCTCCCCCGGTTTATCCCACTGAGTGGGGGGAGGGGGAGGGAATTTCAAGAGTCACTTTGCACAGCCTCAAGCCCAAAAGGCCTCTGGACAAGGCCTTTTCAGATTAGCGGATTGACTCCTGACTCAGGTTTCTCTGTGACTGAAAGCAGTTATGTGAGCGTGAAATTGCTCTTGGGGTCTCCAAGGCCTTCATTCCAACAAGGCCAAACGGGATCCATTACACTGCAGGTGGAATGAGAAAGATGAGCTAATAATCCAGGGGCTGGACTAGAGACAGGCAGCCCAGGGATGGAGGGGGGGGGGCAGTGGTATTTCTGACCAGCTATCATAGCTCTGTCTTCTTGAGTGAGAATTGTGGCTGAATAGAATCCTGTGCTGTCCCTATCCAACACTGTCCCCTGGAGAGCATCTTGGTTGGCTCATCCAGTGGGATATTACCATTTTTTGCTTGCCAATCAATTCAAACACTCCTCAGTCATGTGGAGATGTTTGCTTTTCAAGTTATGGGACACACTTAGCCAGACACAGGATTATGGAATGTTAACATGGGCCAGGGAACAGGGAACAAAAAGGCCTAGAGAGAGGCCTTCAGCCTCTTGCTTCCTCCCATACAATGCATTCCCCCTGGTGGGGCCAGGTGAACTTTAATAGATTGTAACGGCGTCCCTACTCAAGCTCACTGAGCCCTTTCTGTAGGGCACCAGCAAAGAGGGAAGACTTAAGACATACACCCAGACCTCCTGTGCTCTTCTGACATGAAGGTAAGGACTCAGGTTTGGTCTCCCAAAGGAAAATCTAACAAAGGATGTGATAAAGATATGTCATCTGCAGAGGTGCTGGAGACAGGCCACCTTCGGCTGGAGTCTGGGCAATGGGAAGGTCACAGGAAAAGGGTCATAACAGCAGGCCTGTGGGCTTGAGTGAGCCAGGAACCTTCCAGAAGGGACTTGGCACCTCCTTTCACCCCTTTTTCTCTCTTTTCTTCTTTCTCTTTCTTTCATTTTCTCTTTCTTTTCTTTTTCTTTCCTTCTCTCTTCTCTTTCTTCCTCTTTCCCTCCTTCCTTTCCTTCCTCTTTCTTTCCTTCTTTCTTTCTGCTGATACTAGAGTTTGAACTCAAGGCTTGAGTTCTCGTTTTCACTCAAGGCTGGAGCTCTTCCCCTTGAACCACACTTCTACCTCAACCCCTTTCTTCTGTGTGCCAGTCACAGGGAGTCACAAGTGTCTGGAGCAGGACCTTTGGCACAGCTGAAGAGTCTCATCTTCACAAAAACACTGGACAGTTCCCAAGCACAGCTACATATTATTGGGCATTACATTTGATAGAGTATAAGGAATGGGCGAAAACTATTTGACTCATCTCAGTTTCTTAGCGATCTAAAACTGTCATCTGATGGCAATGAAGTGATCAAAGCATGATGGAGAACAGAGAGGCAGTAGTCCCTACCATGACTGGTCATAAAACATGAGAAATGGAGGCCAGGCTGAAGAGCCCAAGGTGACTCACAGGTCTGTTGGTATTTTCCAGGCTTCAGTGACAAGCTTGCCACTCTCTGGGAGTCAGTAAAGGCATTTGAAGTGCTAGGATGATACACCAGGAGGCTCTTGGAGCTCAGGGCCCTCTTTAAGTAAGAATATTATTGGGTTATTGGATTGCCTTAAGAACCAGACACTGGCCTTTCACTTCTATCTTTCTCCAAGCCCTTTTCTGCCTACAGCTGGAATGAGCTTTGAAAAAATGTCAATTGGATCTTGTCCCCACTCCAATAACCCTTTCCAAAGAGATCAAACTTCTCCAGTGGCTTCCAGAGTTTACCTGTCTCCATAGGTCTCCATGCTTCAGTTCCTCCAGATTTCTATTGGTTTCTTCAGAGCCTGAACCATATAGCTTAGTTTAGAACTGGGTGGTCAGGTTGTAAGCTGTGTGTGTGTGTGTGTGTGTGTGTGTGCACATGCGCACAGCATGTGTGCTGGTCTTGGGGCTTCTTTTGCTCAAAGCTAGTGCTCTACCACTTGAGCCACAGAAACACTTTTGTCTTTTGGTGGTTAATTGGAGATGAGTCTCATGGATTTTTCTGGTCAGCCTGGCTTTGAACTGTGACCCTCAGATCTCAGCCTCCTGAGTAGCTAAGATTACAGGTGTGAGCCACCAGTGCCCAGCCAGACTATAAGCTTTCTGAGAGGAGTCTATCCTTTGCTTCCCCTTATATTCTGAGGTTCTAACAGTGGGTCACTGAGTCTCGACCCAGTATAGGGTAGGTGTTGAACACTGATTTTTCTCTGTACATGGAAAACCATCCCTTGACATGAATGTCAACACACAGGAAGGACATATAAATGCACAGCACACCTCCTTAGAGGTGGGGGCCTCTCCTCAGGGCACATGCAGAGCGAGCTCCTATAAATGGTAGAATTGAGCCAATGGAAATACCAAGACCAGCACACATGCTTGTGCGCATGTGTGCACACACACACACACACACACACACACACGCACACACACTGAATGTCCTCCCTTGGAGGGAAATATTAGTCCCATTTCTATGCCGCTCCACCTGAGTCACTCTTGTTGATTGGTTAGTTGATTTTTGAGTGTGGGGATAAAACCCAATGCCTCAGGCATGCTAGGCAAGTGCTCCACCATTCCTGGCCCCTCTACCTTTTGTTTTAAGATGAGGATCTTGCTAAATTGCCCAAGCTGGTCTCAAACTCTTGAGCTCTATTGATACTCCTGCCTCTTCCTCCTGCGTGGCTGGGATGCCAGGTACCTGCTGTACCAGAATTGAACTCCAACTTCCTCCCTGTTTCCATCTGAAGTCGTGAGTGAGCTTGGTTTGTCGGAGTAAGACAGGAGTTCTCTGATTGTTATTTTTAAGGAGTATGTGACTCTTCCAAAAGTGACCTTACCACCTTCTTCTGGGCCTTGCCAACCCTCCTCTATGCTTGAGATCTGTTGCCAGCTACCTTATTTCTGATTCCTACCTTCCGTCCACACAACCTGAAAACCCCAGCCATCTGCTCTGCCCAAAGCCCATTGGGCACTCCCCCCCCTACCCCCATTCTCAAAAGAGCACCTGAACACATGAAAACTTACCATCTCCAGTGCTCAGGGTCTTCTCCCTCCCTGCTGTTCTTAGACCCAGCCATTGGGATCCCACCCTTCTGTCTGTGTAGGTCTGTGATGAGCTTTCAACACTTGTTAACTAACAGGTACCACTTTGGGGATGCAGTTCTCAAAAGGACAATGACTTTATGTATGTGTGTGCCTGATGATGTCAGTGGTCCCAAGGGATGAGCTTAGCTGAGAATTTCAGGCATTGGATGATGACAATGTCCTTGCTAAATGGGACCAGAGAAATGAGGCATCACGGAGCAAACTTACGTTCAGCTAAGAGTTTAAGACACTGCAAAACAAGGCACTGGATGGACTGATGTCACAGGACCCTTCCGTCTCTGTCCTCCTCCAAGCCTAGGACATTCATACTGGGGGCCCTGCCCTGCCAAGCCTGGGCCAGAGGAGGAGGGAGGCGGGTGAGTGGGAGGGGCGAGGGAGTGAGCAGTGACCTACATCTGCTCCAGTGCCGCCTGTCTTACACCCGCGGACTCAGAGCTTCTTACTGCAGACAGCAGCTGGAAACGGGAGGAGGGAGTGGACAGGAGGTGGAGGCCAGTGGTGCACTCAGGTAAGTGGCCACGACATACTGTATTACCCCTCATGCTCAAGCTAAGGAGGACAGAGACAGAGACATTGACCTGTTCCATACCCAATGGGCAGGAGCTCAGCCCCAGGAACATTCTGTGGCTGGCTGATCTTCTGCTGAGATGCCTATTTGAAGGAGAGAATTTCAGTGACTCCTCTCTGCGTAGCCCTGCCCTGGCTTTGATTTTTCTGCTTAGGATAGAGTGTGATAGACAACTAGATTAAAGAATAAAATAAAATCGCACGAGCAGTCTGGACTAAGGACTTCAGGGATGGGACTTGGTACACTCTGGTCAGAGCAACTGAGAAAAAACCCACGGGCTTTTCCTGTAGTCTAGAAGTTGGAGGTGGCAGGCTGGGAGTGGAAAGCCGTAGGTCCTGCCAGAGTTCAGAGGGGCACAGGCTGGGGATCAGGGCTGAGTGGCTGGCTGGGATAGGTAGCTACAAGGCCACCAAGTTGCTGCTTAAGCTGAGAACTGAGAATCTTCTGGAATATGGACAAGCGTGGCGGAGGAAAGAATTCATTTCCTTCTCCTTCCTCTCGAGTTGAGCCACATGCCTCTAGTCTTCTACCAAATGGCCGTCTGTCACAGACCATTCACCCAATCTAGTGTATTCTTAAAGAGGATCAGGTGGCTTTAAATCAGACCCCTACCCTCCCACCCCGGGCTTCTCTTCTCTTGCTTCCCAACTGGACCTATAGGCGGAAGGCCAAGGAAGGGGCTGTGTCTGCAGTATACTAAGAGGCATGATGAATAACCAAGTAATCCACCGATAGCTGCTTGTGACGATGATGAAGATGGAGACTAAGATCATTATGTTAGGACTCGAACTCTACGAGTGGGGAAATGCACCGGCCAGGTGCCAATGTGTTCACCTCTACCAGATGACTGTATTGCAGAGATGGTGCGGCAGAGACTTTGGCACCCCTTTTTCCAGCATGGCAGTCTGAGTTCTCCTCATTGGCACACCCCGCCCCCCCTTTCCCTTGTGACTCGCTTCGGCCCAGCGGCTGTGGCGCCTGCGGTGCGGTGACCTTTCCAGGACACTGTTGGCGCGCTGTGGCATTCCAGCACTCTGGGGGGGCAGCGGGTGGATGGTTGAGGGGACATCCTGGGGCTGATGGAGTCAGCGGGTGGGCAGTTATGAAATGGAAGCGTACCAGTTGGAGGGAGGGATTTGCTCTGTCCTGTGTGATTCTATATCGACGGCCAGGCTCTTTGGGCAGGAATTGAAGTCCCCCAAATAGAACCAACTTGGCCATGGACCAATTGCACAGGAGGTGGAATTGCTGGAGAATTCCTTCAAAACTCCCTCCCACACATGCATGGCTCTCCTCCCATCCCAGAGCTCACGCCCTGCCCCTCCTGTGTGACATATCATGGTCATCATAGATGGATGCCATTGAGAACAACCCAGAATCGATAGTGGTGGTGGTGGTGCTAGGGAGAGGCTGAGAAACGCTGTGCTCACCTGACGCTATAACTCACAGGCTGGGAGGGAGAGCAGATGGATTTATGGTGATCCCATTGGCTTGGGTAAAGAAGAGCTTAAGGGCAGCCAAGTCAGGGACTCTCCTCTGCAGTCCTTGAGATCTGAAGGAGTCCAGATTGGTTGAGATTGGGAGGCAGATGGGCTTCTGGGCTCTGCTAGAAAATCAGGGTAAGGGGAGGAGCCAACAGGCCAGGAAAGTCACTTCAAGGCAAAGGTGGGGGCAAGGCTGTTAAAGCCTGAAGATTCCTGAATAGATTTGGATTTTTAGGTTTGGGAAAGCTGGGTCTTACCCTCTCTGGTGGTTGGGCCCTTGGGTAAAACATTCAGATTCAGTACCATTGTTTCTCTTACTTGGGAAAGATACTGACTGGGAAGCAAACCGCCTCCTTCCTAGTCTTTGGAAAACTGGTTTGCAGGAAGCAATGGTATAATTCCTTGGAGGGAGACAAGCTCTGGGACGCAGTAGCTTTCCGATACCTCCACTCCAGATACTTGCTGGTACACTGATGGTGTGGACAGGGTGGGCCGAGACTGCCTTGGCCCTCTCCTACAAACTTCCCCTTCCACTTTCAGGTGCTCACGGACTACCTACGGAGGATCCAAGGAGAAGCCAGAAGCATGGCGGGTGAGAAAGGAACATCGCCCCAGCCCCAGCCCCGCCCCGCCCTCTCCCCATTGGAACTCTTCACCAAGGTGGAGATAGGGGAAAACTGTGGAAGTCAGAGGTTTTATTTTATTTTATTTGAGAACTCACCTATTTCTCTGCTCTTTTCAGCTTTGGCTTTGATTTGTTTTTCTGAGTCAGGGGTGCAGAGTGAATTTTCATTTCCTGAAAAGGAGCTTTTCCCAAGTGATACATTCAGGGTCTTCCCACAAGGCCCTGTGCTAATTCCTAAGGGCGCCCTTCACACAGCCAGAGGGCAGCCACCTGATTCTCATTAGAAAGTTACCCCATTCACAGGTCAGAGGTGGGCAGGAAGACCTTACCCAGCAATGGGAGAGTGAGGGGCCTGACTCCCTGGATGAGTGGGCAGATAATCCAGTCTGCTGAGGGACACTCGATGAAGAGGAGGAGGAAGGCCCTGCTCTCTCTATCCCACTTTTTCCAGGAAAGGCCTTAAAAAAATCTTCCCTCCCTGGGGTGAGCATCCGGCAGCTGGTGGAAGAGATCCCAGAAGGCTGCAGCACACCAGACTTTGTGCAGAAGCCTGTCACCTTGGCTCTGCAGGAAGGTGAGACTCCAGAGGGCATTACTGAGCAAGACATGGGTCCTGCTGTCCCATCTCCTAGCGTGCCCAAGGGGGATGGTTTGCCCAGCCCCTGAATCCATTTATCAGGTTATATCTCCTTCCCATACTCATGTTATATCTGCTTATTGGGATATCTAGTAGAGACGATGAGAAGAATGGAAGTAGGGAATGCTATGCTGACATGAGAAATATCAGGGGAGTCGGGCACTAGTCAAGGGGCTGAGACTTAGAGGATCATAGTTTGAAGCTAGGGCAGGAAGTTGTCTGCGACTACCAGCCCTGAGTGAGCAAGCCAAGCAAGAGCACAAGGCCCTGAGTTCAAGCACTAATACTGAGGAGGAAGGAAAGAAGGAAGAAAGGAAGGAAGGAAGGAAGGAGGAAAAGTTGGCTGGAGGTGTGGCTCAGTTGGTAGAGCAATGAGCAAAAGCTTCAGGTACCAAATTTGAGTCCTGGTCTCAGACCAAAAAAAAAAAAAAAAGGAAGGAAGGAAAGTAGTATTAAGAGGACAAGGACAAGAAATTCAAACCAAGGAGCAAGGTTGTGGGGTTTCCTAGTCTGTTTCTCGAGACTTCTTGCCTCGAAGCCACAGCTATAGAGAGGTACGATCTAAACCCCGCCTCCCAACCGTGCCTCAGACAGCACATGTCCAATGATTCATAGGTAGATTGAAGAAGACAGTTCTAGAAGACTACAGGAAGGAAGGTTGGAGGTGTGGCTCAGTTGGTAGAGCGTTAGCCAGTGAGCACTAGCCATTTCCCACCTAGGCTTTCAGGGGAACAGGTGGGGATTCAATCTCCTTTCCCAACACAGGTCCCTGCCATACATTTTAGTTCATGGAATTCTGGCATAAGACTCATAATGGTACTGTGCATGATTGTTTTTCTAAATCTGAAATGAGATCTTAGATTTGGGAAGAACCTTGGGGACTTCAGTCCATTTTTTTGCTTTCCCCTGGGGTGTTCCTGGTGGGAGACCATCTGGCTCCCTTGAGGAAATGGTGCTCCCAGACATTTTTGCCTAGCATGGATCTTTGGGTCATTTCTGAGGATGAATCTTATTGTCTCAGGACCAGCTCCAAACAGCCAGCGATTCCAAGGTCATCATTTCCTTCCCGCCCCCCCTCCCCACCCAGAGAAGAGGACTGATACCCACAATTAAACATCCCTAGTTTGGGGATGTTTAATTGTGGGTGTCAAACACCTGCCTGCCTCCCTCACTGCCTGGACAGTCCAACCAGATCGCTCCTCATGAGCCTAAGCTCATACATGATAAAAGCCAGCCCAGTACTGCTTTCTGGGCCCCTGGAAACCCCCTACTTTCCATCTGGTATTAGGGGTTCTAAGTCAAGGGGACCAGCAAGGCCTGGTACCTTCCTTGGAAGAGGCAGCTGAAATACTTCAGAGTGGGGAGGATGACATGAATTAAAAATCTCAGAGAAGTATACTGTCACTTTGCCCTCCACTTGTTGGACTCTCCACCTGCCTCTTCCTGTCATAGGAAAAAATGCCATCTTTCGGGCAGTGGTCTGTGGGGATCCCAAACCTGAGGTGCACTGGCAGAATGCCAAAGGAGAGCTGCACAACTCCAGCAAGTACCAGATCTCTTCTGCCCCTGGTAGCAAGGAGCACGTGCTACAGGTGAGTGGTGCAGATTTCCTCTGCTCTAGAGCCCATCTCCCAAAGAGAGGACCAGCCCTTGAAGGTCTCCTTGGTGGCCTCGAATCTGCAGATGAAGAAGAGGCATTCCTACCTGGAGTTCAGTCTATTTGGAAAGTTACAGATACCTCAGCTTGGGAAATGGCTTAGACCAGAGGCAAGCCTAAGTCATGGCATCAGACCTCCTGGGTTACAGTCTTAGGCTACCACATTGGTTTTGGAGAGATAATTTGCTTCTTTCTGCCTTTGTTTCCTCATATGGAAAGTGGGTTGATAATATTAAAGTGCCTATGTTGAGATGTTATTATGAGGATGATTGTTCAGCTCGTGATCAGCCTTATAGTGGGTACAGGTAGTCTTCAGCTGGCAATGATTTGACTCAACCTTATTGAAAGTCAAGGGCATCTGCTCTTTCAAACCAATCTTGGTTAACATTCATAATAACTAGGAACCATGAAATGCATACTATTGACTAATTAATATGGATTGATGGATTAATATGGTCTAATTAGTTAATATGGATCACAGGGCTTAATCCTGACTCTTCACTACTCTTTGAGCTATTACTGTCCCCCTCTGACAAGGGAACATGCTGGAGCTCAGAGAGGTTGGATAGCTCACCCAAAGCCCCCCACTGAGTAAGGCACCACAGGTTGTTTTCAGTCCCAGATCCAGCTGACTCCCAAAGGGAGCCCCTTCTGCCAATCCACCTCGCCTCTGATGGGACGGATGTGGGCTTTCTGTCCAGACCCAGGTTTTTGTTTGGGTGTCTGTGTTACCTGGTAAGGAGTAACCTGAGAACAAGGACTGCATGCTAGCCATCTTCACCCCCACCCCCAGCACGCAGCCACGTGTAATCAATGGAAGTGCCAGTCCTGTGCCCTGCTCTTCTTCTCCCGACAGATCAACAAGCTGACCGGAGAGGACTCAGACCTGTACCGCTGCACAGCGTTGAACATGTATGGAGAAGCCATGTGCTCAGTCAGGCTCACAGTCATCGAAGGTGGGCGTGTTCCCTGTGTCTGCACTGCACGGGGCACTGAGCAAGACCACTGATTGCAGAGGGCATGGGGAGAATCATCCACTCACACATCAAGTCTGTGTGTGATTATAAAAGCAGATGCTCTGGAAAAGGCCAGAAGCTAGACACTGGGGTTTAGTTCTGGATCTTCTGCTAACTAGCTTTCTCTTCTCTCTGGGCCTCAGTTTCTCCACTAATACATCAGAGGTGACAAGTAGGCAACGTGAAGACCAGATTTTATCTCAAGACATGCTTTGATTGATCTGCACAGTGTTCATTGTTTGCTTGTAGCAATTAGAAGGTAGACAGATACCACTCGGAAAAGCAAATCTAATCTTTCCATTCTGCTTACAATTGGTTTGCTTAGAAGTAACAGAAAAAAAAATTCCTACCAAGGGGCTGGAGGCTTGGCTTAGTTGGTAGAGTGCCAGCCAATGAGTAAAAGAGTCAAGTACTGAGTTCGAGTCCCAGTCTTGGACCTAAAAAAGGAAAAAGAAAAAGATCCTACTACAAGTAATCCAAGAAATAAAGATATTTAATTACTTTACATAGTAAGAGGTCCTGAGATTGGAGTCCAGGGCTAAGGGCTGTCTTGGAGAGCTGGATTCTCTGTTTCACTGGCTGATCACCTCATAGTCATAGATGCCAACTGCAGATTCAAATTTACCCCATGTTCAAGGAAGAAAGAAGGAGAAAGACGCTGGCCCCAAGGATAACCACATCTCTTTCAAGGAAGTGAAAGTTTTCCCAGAAACTCCTGGGAAAGCTTTTGCTTATATCTCATTGGCCAGAACTTTGCCACATGGCCACCGCTAGTTGCAAGGGAAACTGGGAGGTGTTTTGTTTTTCCAACCTCTTCAGAAGAATCAAATAACGCAGAGGCTTATGAACTACTGCAGGAATAGTAGTCAAACAGTCAAATATGTCTGACATATTTGGCCACATAGGGCCAATTTCCTGAAATGGCAACTATCAGATGCATGGAAAGAACAACTTCCCTTTAGATGTCTTGTGATTTGCCGTGGCTGCCAGTGGCCACTTGTCTGATTCATGTCAGCTCCAGGGCCCTGTGGCCCTGTGAATGGGCTTCCCATGTATACAAAGGTGCTTGGGATAGTTTCCTTTTAGGGCACCAAAGCCCCTGATGGCCAGCTCCCCTGTTCTTTGCTCCTTGCTGGAGTGTCGCCTTTCCTTAAAGGAGCAATGGGGGAAGGTCAGGCTTTGCAACTCAGTGCGTTTCTCAGAAAGACCATAAACATGTTGCCTCTTTCCCTGTTTGTCGCCTCAACTCACGCTTTTCTTTCCCGGATGGTCCAGTTGGCTTTCGGAAGAACCGGAAGAGGCAAAAGGAACCCCAGGAAGGTAGGTAGACTTGTCAGAAATCCCCGTGCACTTTTGTGGGATAGGGTCCTTTTTACCTAGTGCTTGCCAATTGGTCACACACTTGATGGCAGCACCAGACTGCAGGAGTTCCTTTCAAAAGCTTGGTTGTCAGCTCTGGGCCATGCGGTAGAGCTCTGTTCAGCCCCTGGGCATCCCTGCCAGGACTGGAGCTTCAATCCTTCTTTTCTAGACCTCAGAAAGGAGTTGGTGGACTTGAGGAAGATGCTGAAAAAAAGGTGAGTCTGCACCTGTCCTCAGGAGAGTTTGAAAGCACCATGGTTGCACTCTCTAACCCCAGCAGCTGGGATGGGCCTCTACCTCCACCTCCAATGCAAGCAGCGAGCTACACAACTCCACCCCAAAAACATCAGAAATTAACAATAGGTCATTAGGGGCATAGTCACCCCTGAAAGCTGGAGAGAAGGGAGAAGGGATATGTCTCCCATCTCTGGCAACAGACAGTAGTCAACTCCAAAGATCTCTGTCCCTGTGTCAATGTCCTCAAGCACACACAGAGCAGCTTCCCTGGACCTCTCAGAGTATCAAGGCCAGGAAGCCAATACCTGGGGCTCCTCTGACCTTTGACCTGCCAACTGTGCTCCTCAGGGCCCCACCTCCAGCCCCTGAGAAAAAGATGGAGTCAGATCAGGTATGGCAGCTTCTGATGACCGCAGACCGGAAGGACTATGAGAAGATCTGCATGAAGTACGGCATTGTGGACTTCCGGGGCATGCTGCGTAAGCTGCAGGAGATGAAGAAGGAGCAAGAGGACAAGATGGCGCAGGTACCTGGCTCTGCCCACACCCTCTGCCCCCCTAGGCACAGGCCCTGGGAGACCTCACTGCTGGAGCTGACCTTGGAGGTGGGCCTTGGGAAACCCAACGGAGTCCAGAGCTTGCTTCCATGTGGTCCTCAGTGAGGACCCAGGCTTCTGAGTTGGCATCAGGTTTAGGAACTTGAATTTGATACTTAACCCAACTTTGGGCCCGGACAAAGGGCCTTTGTTGTATGGTTTCCTCATCTGTGAAATGGAAATTATAGTTACGTCTACCTTATAGGGTTATTGATATGGATAACAGCACTTAGCCAATTATATATAGACACACAGTAAGGACCTCCTTGATCATCACCAGATGTGAGGTACCTGCCTTTATCCAAGGATTTCAAGGAAGGGAATTTCAGTGGCCATTAGCACTGTAATTCTAGCATCTGACAAACTATGAGGGTGAAGTCCTTTCCTATGTCTAACTTAATTATAAGCCTAATTTTTCTTCTGGAAATGGAAAGCAGTTCATAGTTCATTTTCATTATCTTGAAAATAGCATTTCATCCATGGAAGGCCTCCATCTTTTCTCCTCCTCACATCCGCTTTAACATAGGACGCGGCACAGAGCTTTGCATATAAGTATTTAACCAAGATATTTATTGACTGGAAGAAGAGATGACTAGGGAAGCTCTGGCATGTTCTTAGAGTACCTGGTCACCTAGGATCCTTGGCTGCCTTCTTGATCTGATCTCTTATCTTGGAGAATTTCCTTCCTTGAAAGACTTAAGTCTTCCTTTTGTGAAAGAGACAAATAAATGTTTTCTGGGCTGGGGTAATGTGGGCCAGGGATGGGGCTAGAGCCAGTACAGATTTGGTGTGTCCCAAAGAGAGACCTCTGAGAGCCCATCTGATGGTTGGTCTTCCCTCCAGTACGTCAGTGCCGTCTCCAACCTGAGACATATCAGAGTCACCAAGGAGGGAGTTGCCACATTTGACCTGGAGCTGGATCTCAAGGACCTTCAGAGCAAGATTTATTTGTATAAGGTGAGGCTGCAAGGGCTGTGGGCAGGGAGTACGGCAGAGAAGCCAAGGACTCTAGAGCGGAGCTAGCGGGGGTCCCTGGGATCGCCTGAGGGAACACCTGGAGCACACAGGTGGTGAGCACTCACTCTGTGGAGTTCCTGGCTGGAGCTGGGTCAGGTCCTAAACAATCCACAGAAGCCTGATGCTGCTCATGGAACCCCCAAGTCTCCAGCCAGGCCTGTGATGCCATAGATTGGATCTAATACCAGAGCATAGATTGGATCTAATACCAGAGCAAGCTGGAGACAGAAAGTTCTGAGAAAGTGCATTCCTTCCCATCTGAGCTCCCAGACAGAGACAGTCTGTCTCTACATGGGCTTCAGGGGTAATTACCCATGGACCACGTGAGACCAGGCAGATGTGTGGAGTTGGAGACTGTGGAACCTGAGAAAACGTACCCAGCCTCAGTTTCCTTGTTTGTGAAGTGGGGGTAAACAAGTGTTGTCTCAGCATACTGAAGTCCCAAATGGGATCACAGTCTTCCCCTCTCCTGATCTTTGTCCTCTTTCCTCCGTCCTCCCTACTGCTCCTCCGTTCCTCCTGCCCTGGCCTCCTCCCATCACACCAGCTCCTCCTTGTGCCTGCTGTGCTTTTCCTCAAGTCCTCCTGGGTCATTCTCTCCCCGGTTCTGACACTTCCCCTGAGCACCCTATGTGATCTGGGTGTGTTCCCCAACTCTACCCTGAGCCATTACTCTCTTTCTTCCCTGTTTTTCCTAGTTCTCCTAGGAAAATACTACTAGCAAATAACACAGGTTATTTGCTTACTTATGATGCACATTATTTGTCTGTCTCCCCAATAGGGTCTTATCTCCCCGAGGGCAGGAATGTGTGTTTTATTTATTGATACTATCTCAAGTTCCTACAGCAGTATCTGACACATACAGAGCATCTGTTAAGTATCACGATTGTTATTAATATTCAGTAAGTAGCAAAGCAATGTAGGGCTTAGCAAAATAGGTATATGTTTAAAGTACTGGGTTGTATGGAATCATAAAGCTATTCTCTGAATGTTTCACTTGGTGAGCGATGAGCTGGACATAGTTGTCACCCCTGCTTCTCCTGCAGCCTGCAGGGTTGCATTGACCATACCTCTCTTCCCAGCCAGAGCTGGTTACCTCTGCGTAACACAGATTTTCCTCCCCGTGGCTAAGTTGCACAGCTATTTCTGGGCCTGTGTTCCCACCTACTTCGCAATCGTGGCTTCCACATCCTCTAGGCCCTGATCTCTGTCCTGTCCTCTCCACGCCCTTTCTGGGGAAAACCATGGGTAGTAGTCAGAAAAGGGTTGGGGTAGGAAGGTCTGGGATGCACCCGAACCAGCTGAACCAGGCTTTTTCCCTTTCCTGGCCTCAGGATGGTGAGATGGTCCCCTTCGGCTTCGACAATCAGACCAAACACTGTCTGCGGCGTCTGGGGAAACGCTACCAATTCCAGATCCAGGACCTGCGGCCCGAGGATGCCGGCCTGTACCAGGTCATGGTGGAGGATGTCGTGGTCTTCTCCACTGAGCTCGAGGCCCGCAGTGAGTGCGGAAGCTGGAGAGAAGTTAGGAATGGGGTCTGTGCCATGCCGCAGTGGGAGGAGAGAGAGGACTGAGGGGAGGGATGCACCCCAGGTCCTGTCTTTTGTTGGTTCCAGCTGGGCTCTACTGGATTTACTAGATCCAGTAGTGCATCTACTAGATGCAGACATGTATTATGTCCCCACACACAGCCCTTCTGCCACAGCAACTTCTTTTCTTTTGTTTTTTTTTTGGGTCCGGTCCTGGGGCCTGAACTCTGGGCCTGGGCACTGTCCCTCAGCTCTTCAGCTCAAGGCTAGCGCTCTACCACTTGAGCCACAGCACCACTTCCGGCTTTTTTCTGCTTATGTGGTGCTGAGGAATTGAACCCAGTGCCTCATGCATGCAAGGCAAGCACTCTACCACTGATCCACCTTCCCAGCCCATACAGCAACTTATTTTCAGGTCAGATCTAGACTGGTTTCATGGCCTCTCTCTGTTGTCTACTGGTGTGATACAGTTCTTCCCCACAACCCCCAAGTGACAATCCCTAGCTGGGTTAGGCTCCACTGTGAAGAACCTCTTCCTGATCCCCCAACCCCACTCTAGAAGCTGCCCTTCTTCTCTATGGTACTCTGCCTCATAGCCCAAGGACCTGTGTGCCCACATCATCCACAGGGCGCCTGACAGCCCGAGGGGCCTCTTGGAAGGGCAAGGAGAGGCCTGGGGGAGGAAGTTTCTGGCACTCATATGATAAAGGTCACGGCTGAACTGGGCACTAGTGGCTCATACATGTAATGCTAGCGATTGAGAGCAGGAGAACTAAGATCAGCCTGAACAGAAAGCTCTCAAGACCTCTTCTGAAGCCCTAAGTGGAGGCAGTGGCAAGAACCTACCATCCTAGCTACCTGAGAAGCTGAGGTCAGGAGCATCACATTCCAAGCCAGACAGTGGTGCACACCTGTCATCCCACCTACAACAGGAAACCGAATAGATGAATCAAAGTCCAGGCACGCCCAGGCAGGAAGTAAGACCCCAGCTCAAACACAACCAACACAACAAGGCTCTGGAGGCATGACTCACCAGCAGAATGCCTGCCTAGCAAGCGCAAAGCTCTGAGTTCAATCCCCAGTGCTAGAAAAAAAATCTGAAGATCGATATTTGGCAGGCCTAAGGTACCCAGAAAGCCTGGAAACAGTATGGTGTGGGCAGAGGAGTAGGAGCTTTGCAGTCAGCAAGGGCCAGGTGTGAATCCTGGACAGAACACCAAGATGCCCAGACTTGGATTCATCCATTAGGTGTTCTGGGATGCCAGGTGGAGACCAGACTGGGGCAAGTCATTTAACTGTTAAGCCTCAGTTTCCTTACTCATAAGAAGTCATTAGGAGGCGATTATAGGGATTCCCAGATTGCATACATAAAGCACTCTTAGTGTCCTGGGTCCTTTATATGCCCACCTGAGCCCCAGACAGAACTTGGTGGTTTAGGATTATAGCATTATACAGCTGAAAACCTGGATGGTCACAGCCTAGTTATATCCCCTCATTTTACATGTGGGGCCACTGATCCCCTGGGGAGGGAGGAAAGCAACCAAGGGGATACAAGCATGCTGGTCCACATCTGGGTGTCTAAAGTCCAGAACTATTGTAGCAGGTGTCTCCCATACTGCTAAGCAGACACCCCCCGTTCTTGCTTCCCCTGCAGCCATCCCCCCCAGAGTGGTGGTCCCTCTGGCTGAGGCCCGCTGTGAGGAGCAGGGAGATGCAGTTTTTGAATGTACTCTCTCCAACCCCTGCCCCAACGCTACCTGGCGTTTCCAGCATCGGCCATTGAAGCCCAGTGACAAATACGAAGTCTCTGTGTCCCCTGATGGGCTGACTCACCGGCTGGTGGTGAGAGGGGCCTGTATCCCAGACAAGGGCCTCTATTCACTGGATACTGGGCTCTACATCTCCAGTGCCTGGCTGGTGATTGAAGGTGAGTGGTTACAGCTCTACTTCAGCCTGCTGTCATCAAGGTAGGGCCTTAGGATTTGGGGGAGGTTAGGTTTTTGGTCAATGGTTTGTTTTGGTTTGGGGTTTTTTGGGGGGGTCTGGTCGTGGGGCCTGAACTCTGGGCCTGGGCGCTGTCCCTCAGCTCTTTAGCTCATTGCTAGTGCTCTACCACTTGAGCCACAGCACCACTTCTGGCTTTTTTCTTTTTTGTTTAAGTGGTGCTGAGGAATCGAACCCAGGGCCTCATGCATGCAAGGCAAGCGCTCTACCACTGAGCCACCTTCCCAGCCCAATGGTTTGTTTTGGAATGATTCTCTTCACTAGGGAGGAATGAGGAAGGTTCCTTAGATCTATTCTTTTTTTGCGGGGGGGGAGGGGTCGAGGTGGAGCTTGAACTCAGAGTCTGGGCACTATAACTTAGCTTTTTTATCAAGGCTGGCATTCTACCACTTGAGCCACAGCTCTGTTTCTGGCTTTTTTTTGGTTGTTTAATTGGACATAAGAGTCTCACAGACTTTCCAGCTCAGGCTGGCTTTGGACTGCGACCCTCAGATCTCAGCCTCCTGAGCTATTCTCGGCTCACGTCTGTGTAGTTTCCTGGTGGTGTGCTCTTGTGAGGTTGTTCCAGTAACCTAACATATTGGTGTCCTTCCCAGTCAATCAGCTTGCTTCTCTTCCGGGGGAACAGAGGGCCAGCAGGTGCTTTGGCGTGACTGATCAGGGGTTGCGGTCTTTCTCTTGTCTCTCCCCGGGGGCGATGCCCTTCCACGTGGACATGGATAATACCTCATTGAAGCTGGGACAGATAAAGACCCTCAGACCACACGTGCTGACCACCGGCTACAGACACAAGCTGCTGAGACATCAGCAGAAGACTCCGGGGATATTAGTGGCAAGGGAAGAAAACTCAGAGAGCAGGGTCCCACGAAGGAGCCCTTTGGGGGGCCTGGACTTGCCTCTGGGCTCCAGCTCACAGTGGACCCAGACAGGGATGGCTTTGGCAGGCATAGCGACTCCCTGATGGGGAACGGAAGGGGCACTGACACAGCCTGGGGACTTGGGCTGGAGAGAAAGGGCTTTCTAGAAGCAGGAGACAGGGGGGACAATGCCCCCCATGGAAGCCCCTATCGACAGGGAGAGGGCTCAGAATCAGAGAGAGACCTGGGCTTCATGGAAAGGCAACTTCAAGGTTATGGCAGAGACCACGACGGGGACAGAAGCCAGGGCACCGCAGCAGGAGGTTGGGAAGCTGGGTCCAATCACTCGCAGGCTGGAGAACTGGGGAGCAGCTTGGAAGGAAAGGAATCCAGAAAGGGCAATGGCAGCCATCTGGGCAGACATGGTCAGGACCAAGCTGGAATAAGAAAGAGGGCTCTGCGGGGATCCCGGGCTGATCCTGAGGGGAGCTGGCTGGAGCGGGAAGGGAAGGGGATGTTCCAGGACAGCCGTGAGGATGAGATGGAAGGGGAGGACGGGCTGAGAACGGAGAGGGGTGGAGGACCCGCCAGGGAAGGGTGTGCCAGTGTGGTCAGCTTGGGGGAAGCTGGAGGCAGCAGCTCTTCTGAGCTTCTTGGAGGAAGAGGTTCCAGCAACCAGGCAGGCATGAGCCCTGAGTCCTGTGGCTCTCAGGGAGGTAGAGAAGATGGTCATGGAAAAGCCAGGGGCTATTGGGAGTTAGGGGAATGTCCAGGACAGACATCTGGAAACAGAAATCTTTTGGGGAGCAGAGGTCTTGAGGTCACAGGTAAGGGATCTCTGCCCGGGGCAGATCAGCAAGGCGCTGGGACTGTAGGTAGAGAAAGGAGTTACACAACTGGCCCTGGAGGCCCAGGAGAGCTCAGGGAATGGGAAGGCGGCCTGCAAGGGATCCAGGGGAAATATGGCCAGGACACAGCTGGGGCCTTGGGCAGAACAGGGGTTGGCTCCCCAAACCTCCAGTCTCCCCAGAGCTGGACAGCACAGCAGAAGGGACAGGGGGACCCCAGCAGAATAGAGTCTGAAAGCACAGGTCCTTGGGATGACTCGTGGTCCAGCCTCAGGGGGACTGGGACCCACTTTGGGACCAGGATGAGACCCCCTGGTGGAGAAGAGAGCATGGACAATGCCCAGGTGGACGCTGCTATGGACTCTGGTCAGGGAAGAGAAGCCAGAAGCTACGGGCTAGTCAGGTCTTCAGGCCTGGGGACTCCGAGATCTGATGGGACACTAGGAGACAGGGAAGGTATAAGAGATCCAGGGGCAGTTGGGTCTGGACTGGATTTCTGGAATGGGACAGGGAGCTCCAGAGGAGAAGGATTTAGAGGAGAGACCAGCCATCAGCGTGGCTTAGGAGGGCCAGGGGGCGTGGAATCTGTATATGGAGATGGCAAAGGCTATTCTAGGGGAACAGGTCCTGGCAATGGGGCCTATTATGGCGACGGCTCAGTGCTGCCAGCAGAAGCAGGGTCTGCTCATGGTGTGGGTGGGGCATCGGTGGGAGCAGGGTCTGAGGAAGGGAGTGCTTATAGGCATGGTTCAGGGGTTCTTGGGGAAATGTGGTCCAGAAACAAAGATCACCATAGTACAGTAGGAAGGGGGTCTGGGATTGTTGCAGGGGTTGAGAATGGCTCGGGGGGTCCCGAGGGAGTGCCCATGGAGGGAGCCCGGATGTGGGATGCATCCAGAGGCTGGGGACCAGCAGGCCCCAGGAGAGGGCCTTGTCCTGGCGATGATGTGGGGAGCCCTGGGACAGTGGGGTCTGCAGGTAGAGATGGTCTCGAGGCCTATGGAACAGCAGAAATGGCTGGGCAGGGACATGTGGGAGCAGAACCAGGGGCCTCTGGAAGAATAAAGTCTTGGGGTCAAACTAGGGGTGATGGGGACTCCAGAGCTTCAGGGGCTCTGGGGTCCTCTGGCAAAGGGGGCTGGGAAGATGGCACTGGGAGACCAGGAGCCATGGATCCAGGTTCTCTGAGGGTAAGGGGCAAGGAGGCTGAGGGACACAGTGCCTGGACATCTGGGGCTGGAACCGTGTATGGGGATCATTCCGGACCCCCAGCCCCTTACGCTGGGGCTGGATCTGAAAGCGAGTGGGTTCACGGGTCTGGAGAAGGGGTGTGTTACAGGGATGGGTCTGAAGTCCCAGCACCCCAGGGACCTGGAGGCAGAAGGCTTTATGGAGGAGGGCCAAGAAGTCTGGGGCCTGGGAGAACAGGGCCAAAGGGTGAGGGGGGCATTAGCAATGGCCCAGAAGGCCTCCAAGGAATGGGATTGGCAGGTGAGGCAGTTCAAGGGGGCGGTACTGGGGGTTCTGGGACAATTCCAGCAGGGAGTGAGGCAGGCTACAGGGGTGGCTTGGAGCATTCTGGGGGCGTTTTGTCACGGAATGAGGTGGACGTTAAGGGTGGCACTGGGATAGCTGGGGGAAGAGGGTCAGAGAGTGAGTTTGGTCATAAAGGAGGCTCAGGCCGATCTGGGGAAACAGAAGGTGGAATGCACTATGGAGATGGCCCAGGGAAGATTGGAGGAGCCGGCTCACTGGCCAGAATGAAGCATGAGGCTGACCCCAGAAACCACAAGATGGTGGAACCTGAGACTGGATACTGGGCAGCATCAGTGGGTCCCACAAGCTCCCAAGGTGGTCCAGAGAAGAGCAGGGGCAGGGGGTTTGCGGATGGGACTGGAGCGGGGATGGGCTCTGGGGTAGCCGGGATGCTGGGTGCTGCAGACGGTGCAGCACTCGGGGACAGCTCTGTGGGCCCAGGGTGGGGCACTACGAGTAGTCATGAGGGTTACGGAACCTCAGGGATCCACGAAGCCTTGGGGGCTATGAGTTCCCGGGGTTCTGGGATCCCAGGGGCTCCTAGAGACAGCGGGACAGCCAGGGGAGAGGATGGCTCTGCAGGTCAGGCAGGAACTCTGGGGTCATCTAGCCTTCTTGATGGCAGGGGTGCAGCAGAGGGTGAGGCACAGGCAGGGATCGCGGCTCCAGAGTCTGAGCAGAAGCGGAACTTTAAGGAGGCAGGCTCAGGGCCAACATGCAGGAGTAGAGTTGCTAGCCAGGGGGGACTGGCACCTCAGGATGCTGGGGACTCACTGCTGGGAGACAGAAGGATGGGAGCAGGTTCTGGAAGCACACCGAGGGCAGGTCAGATTGTGGATAGCAGCTCCATTCCAGGGGGTAGCAGCAAGTCAGTATCAGGGCCCGATGAGATACAAGGGATGAGCCATGCTTGGGCCCCAGGCTGGGAAGACCAGGGGTTTCCTGGAGGCAGCACTGGGGCTGTGAACCAGCTCTCAGGCTCCAGTTCTCTGCAGAAGAACAATGCCTCCTTCAGGGGAACCAGCAAGGGGCCTGGAGGCTCAGGGGGTGGAGGAGACGCAGGTCAGGAGGCTGCTGGTGGATGTCAAGGCCCAGGCCCCACTGAATGGGCGGATGGCATCACCCCAGAACCTAGGGGTTCAGGACCACAGGGAGCCTGTAAAGGCTTAGACAGTCAATTTGGCAGAACAGGCTCTGGAGGAAGATCAGGAGGAATTCAGGGCTCACATTCCCATCTGAGCAAAGGACAGGAAGGAGAGAAGCCCCTCAGAGAGCAAGGTGCCTGGGTGGATGAGAACGGGAAAGGTCCCTGGGCCTTAAAAGAGTATGGGGGACGGGCAACAGAGGAGTCTGGCAGGTCAGGCAGGAGGCCTGGCCCCTACAGGAACAGGTGGTGTCAGGCACAGTCGAGAGGCGAGTCTGGGGCAGCTGAGACTGGTGGTGAGGACGGAGGTCACCTCAGGGAGACTTGGAGTGAAGATGGGAGCCGGGGACCCCACAGACATCTTGACAGCCGGAGAGGTGCCAAAGAGGACGGACATGATGCCTATGGCAAGGGGAAGGATGCCAGCCAGAGCCCCAGATCCAGATACAAAACCAGCCCTGGCAGTTCTTCTACACAGGCCCGAGGTAGGTATTACTAGCAGGGCTGATTCTACAAGGGTAGAGCCAGGGCGGGGTCAGGAAGGGGGCAGTACTTCCTGGGTCAATTCTAATTCTGTTTCCAGTCCAGAAATTTGGCCCTGCCAGTACCCTGGTGGGATCTCTTCCAAGTTCAGGAAGAACCTCTTCCTCCTTGTGCTGGTGGGATTCGGGCTGCGTGAGGCTCAGAGATCTGCTGGATACTTGGCCTTGAGACCCCAGGTCCAAGTACCATAGTGTTGGCTTAGCTCTCTGCGGGTGACCCAGACCCCCAACCTGCGTGGCTCGGGTGGTCTCTGTACCTCAGATCTCAGCCTCAGCCTAGGACCTGCTGACACAAAGGAGAGATTGGTTTGGTCACTGACTGAGCTCAGGTGGCAGGACCGTAGTGACTTCCCAGGGTGCACTGCAGCTCAGAGATGGAAGGCTGGGCCCTGGGGATTCCTTTTGTGTCTCTCCAGGCCCCATGAGCCACTTCTCTCAGGGCCTGGCTGACACAGAGGTACAGCAGGGGGAGACTGCCACGCTCTCCTGTACCCTCGCTCGCGACCTGGGACCCGGCACCTGGTTTAAGGACGGAGTCAAGGTACTGGCCCCTCTCATGGTTTACCAGCTAATGTGGGATGTGGGTTGGAAGACAGAGGCAGAGCAGGGAATAGGTCTGCATAGAGGCTTTGCAAGACAGATTATTTCGTTACTTGTCTTACTAGTATACCCATCTGGGAGAGGTTTAAATAGCTAACACATTGGTGTGTTTAAAATGAAGAATCTTATCATAATCATTGTGCCACTGCGGATGCTCTACCAATTTAGCCACAACTCTACTTCTGGCTTTTCAGTGGCTAATTGAGGAATATTCTATAGACTTTTCTGCTCAGAGTGGCTTCAAAATGAAATCCTCAGATCTCAGGCTCCCGAGTAGCTAAGATTATAGGCGTGAACCACTGACACCCAGCTTTAAATGATGACTTTTAAATGAAGGTCTATCCTAGTCACTTCTCCCGTGACACGCCCCTGTTCTACTACTATACAAATGCCCCCTCCTCTACCCACACCTGCCTCCTGCAAAGGCCTCTGGGCACCCCACTGTGAATCAGGGGGCTCACCCGTGTCTGCCCAGCCCTCTCTCCAGTTACACCCACCACCTCGGGAGAGAGGCGGCACTGTGACGTCAGCCAGATCCTCTGTAGATGCCCAGGTCCTTGGGCGCACCCCTTGTTCCTGCTAAGAGTCCCACCCTCACAGTGGTCTCGTGACAGCTGAAGGAGGGGTGGGCATGGTCAGAATGAACACGTGTGGCACTTGAGCATTCTGTTCGGACAGCTGTTGTATGGGTGGGGAGTTCGCTGGTCAGCAGAAGCAGGGGAGGGGTGGGCCTGACCGTTTCTCCTATGGTCTCCAGCTCACTGCCCAGGATGGGATCATCTTTGAGCAAGATGGGCTTGTGCACAGACTCCTCCTCGCCCACGTGCAGGGGACCCAGGCGGGGAAGTACACCTTTGTCGCCGGTGATGAACAGAGTGAGGCCACCCTGACAGTCCAGGGTGAGGCCCAGCCCTGCCCTTCCCTGCCCCAAAGTCTCTGAACCACCTGACGGACTCCATTTCTAGAGGCCCGGATTTGTGGCTGCTCTGTAGACTTCTTAGTCTGCAAAGATGATTTAGGAATGCAAACCTGGCCCTCCCCAATCCCAGCATCGTATTTCCTTCCTTCCTTGCCAGGAAGTGTTTGGTGAGGTCTAAAACCCTGGTCCTTCCTGCTGCAGACAAGCCCGTTCTTGGAGGACTTCATATCCTTTGCCAACCTTCTTCCTTTTGGACTCCTCTTTCTGCCCCCCCCCAGGGGACTTAGGCTCCATCTGTTTTGACCTTCCTGTTCTACTTTTTCCCCCCTAGATCCTCCCACCATCGCTCGGGATGTGACAGAGAAGCTGAGGGAGCCACTGCTAGTCAAGGCTGGGAAGCCGGTGGCTGTCAAGATCCCCTTCCAGAGCCGCCTCCCTGTCCAGGCTGCCTGGAGGAAGGATGGGGCCGAGGTGGTGGGCATGGGTCGGAGGGGAGCGCAGGTGGCCCTGGGTGATGGCTTTACCCGGCTGTGCCTCCCCAGCGTGGGCCGGATGGACAGTGGCCAGTACGGCGTGACGCTGAGGAGCGAGGGTGGCTCTGTACAGGCGGAGTTCATCCTGCAGGTCACAGGTGCCAGCCCCAGCCCTTCTCCCCAGCTGTGGCTGCAGGGTCCCGGATCCTCCCCGCCTGCCCAGGCAGAAACCAGAAACGGGCATGGTCTGGCTTGGGTGCTCATTTGCATGCTGTTTAAACCCCAAAGCCTCCCCTACTTGGTCCTCACAAGAGGCAGGAAGAGACTATGTAGGCAAACTGCTGAGCATGGCCCCTGCCAGGGGAGGGCCTGGTTGTGCTTCTGTGAGCCCTAATGCACTGGGCCCTTGGGAGGAGGTGATTGGGGTGGCCTGGTGCCCCCCCCCCACTCACCCAGATTCCATGGGACCAAGTAGAATAGGACTGTCACATCCAGAGGGCTGAGCGGGCAGCCACCTGTTCCAACACTGGTGGTGAGGCCAAGGCCCAGACTGGGCCATTCCCTGGCGGGCGGGCACGGGTGGAAACGAGGGCCACCTGGCTGTTTCAGGAACCGTGTGTGGGCCCTGTGGATCATGCTCAAGGTTCTTGGGCAGTCCAATCCCCTGCAGGCTTATCCTCAGCTTCTCTCCAGCTTCTCTGACCCCTTTTTCCTCTCCATGGGTCCCAGACAAGCCTCAGCCCCCACAAGGCCCCCTGGAGGTGCAGCATGACCAGGGCGCTGGTGTCCGCCTCTCCTGGCGGCCCCCCCGGGATGACGGGGGCTGCACTGTGGATCGCTACGTGGTGGAGAGGCGGCAGGCCGGGAGGAGCACCTGGCTGGCGGTGGCCGAGCTCCCTGCCCACAGCACCTCCTTCACTGACACCCGCGTGGAGCAGGGCAGAAAGTACGCCTTCCGAGTGCGGGCTGTGAGCTCAGAGGGACCTGGGGAGGCCCTGGAGTCTGAGGAGGTGTTGGTGGCTCCCGATGGTGAGCATCACGGCTGGGGCAGGGTAGAGGGGGCAGAGGGCATTCATGGGCTTGTGGGTCCTGCACTAGCCCCCAAGACTGAGGGGAAACAGCTTGTACTTTGGGGGGGCTGCAGGCCCTTCTTGAGCCCAGCAGAGACTCTCCCTATGGTTCATATGGATTCTAGCATCTAGGTCAAGACATGAGATTTCTAGGGTCTTCAAGTCTAAGGGGACAAACACACAGAGTGGCTTCTCTGTGAGCCTTGGTGGAACTCAGTAGCTCTCCTCACCAGCTAGCCTGGCTCTGGAGCAGCCGATCAGAGGTGTAGGCTAAGGGTCCTGGAGGACTGGCTTTAGGCTTATAAGACAGTACCTTCTTTTCCCTTCATTCCTGCCCCGCTCCCCAAGAGCCAGAATGATGTTCCAGAAAAGGTTAGCTCAGCCCTGACACTGGAGGAAAGGACAGGGAATGGCCCTGTCCCTGGAGGCCTTATGTCTCCTGCCCCAGACCCTCCCCACGACACAGCCTCAGCCTCTAACTGACTGGCACCTTCTCTATGCCCAGCTGTCCCAGGGCCTCCCTCCACTCCAGCCATCCTGTCAGCCTCCAGCCAGAGTATCACTCTCACCTGGATAGCTCCTCGGGGCCCGGGCAGCGCCCACATCCTGGGCTACCTGGTTGAGAAACGCAAGAAGGGGAGCAGCACGTGGACAGCAGTGAATGACCAGCCCATGCCTGGTGAGCAGGCCTGAGCCGGCATGACTCATTGTCTGGCATCCAAAACCCTTGGCATTTTCAATCCCGATTGGTTTAATACAGTGGGTTTATCTGCTTTGTCTGCCCCACATGCTCCGCATGAGAGACATTGAGCTATGCCTAGCCATTGTTTGTTTGTTTTTTTTTGTTCTGGTTCTGGAATTTGGACTCAGGGCCACAGCCCGGTCCCTTAGCTTTATCTGATGCTCTACCACTTGAGCCCTATCTCCACTTCTAACTTTTTGGTGGTAAATTAGAGATAAAGAGGCTCACAGACTTTTCTGCCTAGGCTGGCTTCAAATCATGATCCTCAGATCTCAGCCTCCTGAGTAGCTAGGACTACAGATGTGAGCCACAGTGCCCAGTCAGAGCCATTTTTAATTAATTAGAGGCTTCCTGGAATGCAGTGCGAAGGGACCAGGGAAGCCATTAAACATCCACTATGTACCAGGCCAATGACAACAACAAAGAATGATCTGGCAAAAACATCAGGAAAGCAGAGACTAAGGAAAATTGGCTTAGATGAAGCCATGGGCCCAGAAAGAGGCCGTTAGCTCTAGTTTTGGCCATCTATTCTAGATCTCAGTTTCCTTATCCGTAAAGTAGAAAGCAGGGTCCCCAGTCCGAAAAGCTAGCTGCTTTCTAAGATCAGAAAGATCTTGGGAAAGCCAAAGGATTGGGAGGATGCCATGGAGCCTGGAGTAACCCTTTCTGTTCTGTGCTCTGTGTGAGCCACAGAAGCCAGAGGACAGCTTAGAGCAACTGAGACCCGGCTCCTGACCTCAGCTGTGCAGTGTGGAAGCTGTGCCTTTTGGGGCCTTGTATCGTCACATGGGAAGGGAAGAGAGGAGCTAAGGACATCCTTCAAATTCTGGCATTTAGTTTGCTTCATCTAGCTATTGCAACTCTAAGGCAGAGTGAGCCCGAGAGATTAAGGCACTCGGTGACAGAGCTAGACAGGGACTGAGGCCCCCAACCCTGAACGCAGTGCGCTCCTCACCTTGGAGAGAATCATGTCACCTGGCTGGTTGGATGCAGGAAGCATGTCCTGGACCCCAGGCTTGATTTTCTCCTGACCTCAGAGACGCCAAGCTCTCTCCCCATTCCTGGTCCCTCATATGGGATATCCCCTTCTCAGAAAGGAAGTGCACAGTGACAGACCTGCGGCAGGGCTGCCAGTATGAGTTCCGGGTCACAGCCGTGGCTCCTTCAGGCCCTGGAGAGCCTGGTCCTCCATCGGATGCTGTCTTTGCTCGGGACCCCATGAGTGAGTAGGGCTCCACCCTGGATCGAGGTGGGGTGGGGTGGGTAGTAGGCATGCAGGTTTGGGTTCTGAAGGAAATGGTCAGAAGACTGGAGACAAGAAAGGGTTGGGTGGTCATTGGGATGGGGCTTAGATTAAGGGTCCTAAACTGACACGGAAAAGGCCTAGCAGTCCCTAGTAGGGACTAGAAGACTCCTCCCTCAAGGTCATGTCACTTACTTCGACCTCTAGGCAATCAGTCCCCAAGCTGGCCCATTGGTCCAGTCTTCTAACCATCCTCTCTCCCTGTCATCCCTTGGGGAAGCAGGTAACAGAAAAAGCTCAGCTTCCATTTGCTATGCAATGGCTGTGAGTGGATGGATTGGGGGAGGCGGCTTGGGGTCTGTGTGCATAGTGAGGTAAAGTGCTGGAGAGAGGAAGGGTGAGTTCTAAGTAGGAATCTCAGAAAAAAGCTAAGAGAAATCCCCAGTTCCCCATAGGAAGGCCAGTGACTGTCCACCCCGAGTGGCTGTCTCTGTTGAGGCAGCTGCCGTTTCTGACATTCTCTTTGTGCTCGGCCAGGACCGCCAGGGCCTGTGCGGGATCTCCAGGTCATAGACACATCGAATACCAGCATCACCTTGAGCTGGGTGGGGCCAGACACTACGGATGGAGACCGAGCTCAGGGATATGTGGTAGAGCTGTGTGTCTCTGACAGTCTCCAGTGGAGCCCATGCCACACAGGCACTGTGCCAGGCCCCACCTTCACAGCCAAGGGGCTCCGGCCCCAAGAGAGCTATTTCGTGCGTGTGACAGCAGTTAATGATGGAGGCTGCAGCCAGCCCACGGCCCTGGATACATTAGTGAATGCCATGCCTGTTACTGGTGAGTGAGGACCCCCTCTTTCCCAAGCCCTTCCTGAGCAGGGTCTCTGAGCAGCTATCTGTAGTCAGGATCTCCAATTTGAGTATCTCCTGTGTGCTGCACACTGGGCTAGGAGAACCCTTTTCAGCCATGTTTTCTCATGAAAACTTTTAACAATCCTACAAGGTTAAAACTTTGATTCCCAATTTACATAGAAGGAAAACTGAGGTCCAAAGACACTTTGCCCATGGTATGAGGCAGAGCCAGGATAAAGAGGGTGACTAGAAGGCCCACCTGTTGCTCAGCTCAATGGTTCTTGTTCTGGGTGCCCTGTTATCAAAAGGCAGGTTGTGCTGACCTTTGGGCCTTGATCACGAACGCAGCTGATTCGTCTTTGACCTAAGCTGCCTGTGTCAACCCAACTGATTCTCGTTGTCACAGTGAAAATAGGAGACAAGTACTGTATAAAGCACAAATCCAGAATTTTAGAATCTTGTCCTGGCTCTGTCCATACTTTGGTATGTGTCCATGCAAGTCACTTCCTGTGTCAGACTGCTGTCCATCCCATCTGCGGAGCAGAAGAGCCAAGCGGTCACCTAACCTTCTCCTACCGTGTCCTTGTCTCCTCTCCTGGCCTTCTGTTCTTCTGTCCCTACCAGCTCCTAGGTCTTCCCTAGAGTGGCAATTCTACCCACCCAGCCTTTCCTCTGCCCCTTGGGTGACCAGGGCTTGTGCCCAACTACGAAGGAAAGTGGCAAACCATCTTGTGTGTTTCAGTCTGTCCCAGGTTCCTCCTGGACGCTAGCACAAAGGACTCACTAACCTTCAAAGCTGGGGACACCATTCGAGTTCCTGTTTCTTTTGAAGTGAGTATACCTGGATGGGGCAGGGAGGGGAACCCCAAGCAGGCAAGGCAGCTAGACAGCCCTGGGGTTCTCTTTTCTTCCTTGCCCCTGTCTGGTCCCTAGGCACTGACCTGGGCTTGTGTTGAAAATCAGGCCTGAGGTGAGGGCCAGGGCCCCTGAGTGGTCAGCCATTTTGCTACCTGTACAGTGGATAAATCCCTCTAGTGGTGTGTCTTGGTACTACACCTTCAAATTAGGACAGTTTTTCTATCTATATTCCTTAGTCTGGGAATTTGTGAGGTTTTCAGTATGGATAATTCTTTTTTGTTTTTTTAACTTCAGAATGTAGTTTTGTACAAATGCATGGCCTGAGTTTAATTTTCAATGAATATCAATCCCACCTGACTCTATACAGGGTATAACAGTAGAATGGTAGTTTAAAGCACAAACTACCTGGGTTCAAATCCTGAAATCATCATTCGCTAGCTGTTTGACTTTGAACAAATGCCTTAGCCCCTCTATGCTTCAAGTCCTTCATCTCTCAGTTGGGGAGGATAATAGTAACCTATCTCAAAATGTTCTGTTCTGAGGATCTGAGACTTTAACTCACTGAAAGCACATATATAAAATGAGCCTGGCATGTGGAAAGTACCTCATATATGTTGTTGTTGCTGCTGCTGCTACTACTATACTACTACTATCTGGATGAAAGCTCATAGTGGCAGAAACAGATTCAAACTCACACCTGTCTTACTCTACATTACATGATCTTAGTTCTTGAACTATACACCAACAATGATAATGACTATGAACTGTTTATTATGGTGGAGTCTCTGTGCTTTCCATGTATAGTTAACTCTTTAAGTCCTCGGCACACTCCCATGGAGTACATTATGGTGAGCATCCCCAGATTGTCCAATATCAAGGGTCCCACAGGGAGTGGGATGCGTGGTCACTTAGCAGATAGACTCGCTTCTCCAGACCCGTCTTGGTCATCCAGTCCTAGGCCAGGCCGCCAAAATCCTCCCTCTCCCACTATGTACCTATTGCGGGGGTTCCCAAGTCACCTCCTACCTACTCTTAGGTACCAAGATGAGGAATAGTTCCCTCCCTGCAGATCCTTTTTCACTCCCACCCAGCAGCTCCTGTGTGAATGCAAAACTAACAGCATGGTGCTGCTCCACACTTCACAGCAGCAGCTGGTTGCTCACAGAATAGAATCCAGATGTCTGCATGGGTGTGATGTTGAGGGGCCTCCCCACCAGCCTGTTTCTCATCAAGCCTATCTGCTTAGAGAACTCCCCTTCTGGCATGTTCTTCTCATCATTTCTCCCTCGGGTGCAGCCTAAATGCCATGACTCCTACAAAACGTTCCTTTCCTCACCTTGTCCTTCTTCCTGTTTTCCAGGCTGCCCCCATGCCTGAGGTGAGCTGGCTGAAGGACAGCCTGCCCTTACCCAAAAGAAGCGTGACCACTAGCAAGGATGGTCTCACCCAGCTTCTGATTCCCGCAGCCAGCCCCTCGGACAGCGGCCGTTACACGGTGGTGCTGCGCAGCCTTCAGGGGAAGGAGGTTGTCTATAGCTTCTTCATCAGGGTGGCAGGTAAGGCAGGCATGGTTCTGGGCTCACACCGTGGTATGCAGGTTTCATCTGGCCTGGACACAGGCCATTTTCCCAGGTCTGGGTCTGCAATTACACCTTTCGATGAATCCCAGGGAGAAAAAGACATACTTAATCCCTGACCTCCAAACCAATGAACCAAAATATGTGACTAGAAATTGAGGGCAGCTAAACTGACCTCAGGCTTTGGGTCCAGCCAGAGAAGAATTCAGGCAAGAGGCAAACACAGCAGACATGCATGGTTATTGGAAAAGAAATACAGCAGAGAAAGGGAGTATGCGGCATAAGCTGTCTTGGTAAAGGACCAGCCTGCTTTCTGTTTCCTGTAAGGTTAGAGCACCGAAGAGTCAGTGCCTCACTCAAACAGAGGAAACACCTCATTCTTTCGCCTGTCTGTCTTTTTCACTGTTTCTTTTTCTTTCATGCTGGTTCTCTCCCCAAGCTTCTTTTGCTCAAGGCTATAGTGCTCTGCCACTTGAGCCACAGCTCCAATTCTGGCTTCTGAGGGGTAGCTAATTGGAGATAAGAGTCTCATGCAATTTCCTTTCCGGGCTGGCTTTGATCTGGGATCCTCAGATCTCAGCCTCCTGAGTAGTTAGGATCACAGAAGGGAGCCACTGGTGCCTGGCTAATCCTTTTGAAGCCCCAGGCCTCCATTTTATTGTCAGGCAGGTAGGTCTTGGTTTATCAGCTTACCCTGCCATCCTAGAGTTGTCTGGGCTTCAGTTCCTGCCTGCTTTTCTACTGCCTTGTATCAAGGCGACAGCACTGCACCCTGTCCTTTGCACTTGGCCATGGGAGGAAGGCAGAGGGAAGGAGAGGGGTTTCCCTTGTCCTTCTGACTCGAGCGATCTGGAGTCACTGTGCCGCCTCCCAGACCCGTTATTGCTCATTTAGCATTAATAAGCAAAGACATCCACACTGTAGCCTTGGCAAGGCAATGTGTGTCCTCTCCTAAAGAGACACCCACTGGGGCCCCTGACCAGGAAGAGTCCCTGGATATGCAGAAATAATAAAGCAGACCAGCAGAAAGAGAGAGAGAGAGAGAGAAAGAGAGAGGAGAGAAAGAGAGAGAGAGAGAGAGAGAGAGAGAGGGAGAGAGAGAGAGAGAGGAGAGAGAGAGTGTATCCTGATTTTGTGAATGCTACCTTTGTCCATGTCCTGGGTCATTTTATCTAAAAAGTAAACTGAGTTTGAAATATTCTTCTGAAACCAGTCTTGAGGCACCTGGTTGTACTCTCAGCACACAGACCAAGTCAAGAGGACCTCTAAGTCTAAGCCAGTCTGGACTACATAGTGAGGCCTTGTCTCAAAAAAAAATAAAGGGGTGGGGATACGTTTCCCATGCTGTAGAGATAACTGTGGATCTCTGAAGAGCTCCCTCTGCCTCTATTTACCTGCCAGGCGAGGCTACGTTCCCCCAGGAGCCCCAGAAGACATAGGGGGCTTGGTGGAGGACTGTCCCAGCAGCCATCTGGGGGGCCCTGCAGTGTGAGTCCAATAGCCCTCTCTCTTCCAGCATGTCCTCAGGCCCCAGGGCCCATCTACCTGCAGGAGAACGTGCCCGGGACAGTGACGGTGCAGTGGGAACCATCTCCGGACGAGGCCCAGGACACACCCTTGCACTACACAGTGCTGGTGCGCTCCTCCACCCACAGCGCCTGGCGGGAGGTGGCTGACCGGGTCCACACCAACCACTTCACTCTCCTGGGAGTCCTTCCGGGTCACGAGTACCACTTCCGGGTGATAGCCAAGAATGACCTGGGGGCCAGCCTACCCTCAGACACCAGCCAGCCCTGGTTCCTCTCCCGGCAGCGAGGTAAGCATCTCCTGAGGAGGGAAGGGCTTAGCTGGCTGAAGCCGTGCGTCCCAGGTGGGTGGGAGGTGTGGAATGGGGGTCAATCAGGATCTGAGGAGAGGCAGCCATCTTCTACCCCCTCCCGCCTGAAACCCACCTATGGTGAGGATGATGTCCTCTGCGCCCTGGCCTCCGTGGGGAGGTGTGGGCGTCAGGGTAGATTCTCAGAAGCAGGGTGGGGTATAAGATAAGTAAAAGTTTCTCTGAAATAGTTCTCTGAAAATAAAGCATATTTTATAATCAAGAAGATATAAACCACAAAGGGAAAAAAAAGCAGATTATAAAATCAACTGGAGTGATTTCAGGTGTATGAACTACAAATGTCTGCAAGAGCTGAGCACCGGTGGCTCATGCTTGTAATCCTAGCTACTCAAGAGGCTGAGATCTGAGGATCGAGGTTCAAAGCCAACCCCAGGCAGGAAAGTCTGTGAGATGCTTTTTTTTTTTTCAGTCATGGGGCCTGAACTCTGGACCTGGGCGCTGTCCCTCAGCTCTTCAGCTCAAGGCTAGCGCTCTACCACTTGAGCCACAGTGCCACTTCCGGCTTTTTTTGCTTATGTAGTGCTGAGGAATCCAACCCAGAGCCTCATGCATGCAAGGCAAGCACTCTACCACTGAGCCACCTTCCCAGTCCCAATCTGTGAGACTCTTATCTTCAATTAATCACCAGAAAACTGGAAGTGGTGCTATGGCTCAAGTGGTAGAGTACTCACCTTGTGCTGAAGAGCTCAGGGACAGCGCCCAGGCCCAGAGCTCAAGCCCCACAACTGACAAAAAAAAAAAAATGGTCTGCAAGGCTCTATATCAAAATGTTAGCAGCTCTCATCTCAACAAGGCAAGATTATAGCTGGTTTTTATCTTGCTCTTCTGGATTCTCTATGTGTTGGTCCATAGTAAACATGTTAGCTTGTAGTCAATCAAAAGGTAGAAAGAATTTTAGGAAAAAGGATAAGACAATGAATCAAAAGGTGCAGATGACAGATGATAAGCCTGGATGAGTCTAGCACCCGGGGCCATGTCCATAATCCTAGCTATTCAGGAAGCTGAGATCTGAGGATCTTGGTTAGAAGCCAGCCCAGGCAGAAAAATCTTTAAGATTCCAACTAACCAGGAACAACAACAACAGAAGTAGAGATGTGGCACACCTCAGCACTCTGAATTTTCTAGATCTTTCCTTACATTCTGACACTCCCCTCTTCTGCTGGTTTTCGCTACAGACAAGTTCACCGTGAAGGCTCCGAGCTACCGCGAACCCGACTTGAACCAGAAGCCTAGGTTCCTGGTGGGTCTGCGGCCCCACCTGCTACCTCCAGGCTGTGAGTGCCGCATGACCTGTGCCGTGCAGGGGACCCCCCGGCCTCGGGTCACCTGGTTCAAGAATGGCCAGAGCCTGGACGGAAACCGTGCGCTGTACAGCACTGACATGCTGGGCGTGTGCTCCCTCATCATCCCCAGCGTCTCCCCGGAGGACAGTGGCAGGTACAAGGCGGTGGCGGAGAACCCGTTGGGCCAGGCTATCAGTACCGCCACCCTCATTGTCACAGGTAATGATGGCTGCCCTGGCAGTGGACAGTGCCAGCAGGGGGAGGGAGGGAGAACCAGAGGAACAGCCACCTGCCTGCCTTCAGGAAGCCATTCTAGAGCAAATGGACCAGCGACCAGGAGACCAAGATTCTCTCCCTGCTTCTGTGTGAACTCTATTATTTAACCTGGCCACCATGGCCCCTCCCAGGGCCTTGATTTACCAGTTTGGAAAATAAGACATTTGGACTAGAATGACAGGGGTACTGCCCACTAAGTGTCCAAGTGTGGCCTTGAGCAGGCAGTGGGAAGAGAATGACAGGCTATAGATACACGCAGGTGCACACCCAGATGTGATGCTGAGCGCTAGAAAGGCCAGCTCTCATTGGTCACCTCCTTTCAGAGACCAGTTTTTATTGGTCACTTCCTTTCAGAAGCCAGTCTTCATTAGTTATCTTCTTTCAGAGCCTGACTTTCATTGGTCACCTCCTTTCAGAAGCCAACCCTCATTGGCCACCTCCTTTCAAAGGCTGACCTTCACTGGCTACCTTTTTTCAGAGGCTGACTCTCACTGGCCATTTCCAAGACAAATAATATATGTTAATAAGAAAACATGTTTCCCTCGTAGTATTTAAAACACGGGACATTGTGAATAGTAAGAAATAAAAAGTAGCCCCTGAGCAATTTTAGTTACTCAGATTTGACCTTTGTGCCCTTCAGCACTAGACCAGGATATCCCTCTAGGATGTCTAGGCTAGGCTCCTTAGGAAGCCATCCTCAAAGGCCTCAGCAGGAGGTGTGGTTGCTGATAGGCCAGGGAAGCTCACAGAATACTCAGTGGCTCAGGAAGGTTTGAGCCTGCGTCCTGCCCACTGCCTCCAGAACTGGTAACCCCCCTACAACATTGCCTTTCCAGGGGGCAGGTGTGGGAGGGGCAGGACAGCTGGAATATCCTATCTTTGCAGAATCCAGCTCCTAGCCCTACCTTACCTGGGATGTCCCTGCCTGGCCATCGGATGGATGGTAGATCTCTGAAGCTTTACTTGGACACCCACACTGGCTTGGGGAGTCAGTTCTGAAGGATGGAGGCCATGCCCAGAGCCTCAGGAGCAAGGGGGCTTCTGAGGAGGAATGACCAGGAGGGTCGCAGAGGTGGAAGCATTGGTTCTGAGCTTAAGTCACCGAACAAGATGTCTGAGGCCCTGTGGAAGAGTCTTCTCCACCTCTGGAGATGGAAGCCAGCTGCTGTTTATTAGGCTAAGCCCTTGGTGGGAACAGTAGAGTCTTCTATGGCCATAGGAGGGAGAGTAAGGGACAGGGGAGGACCGGGGTGAGGAGGAGGGCACTGAAGGCAGGGAGTATGTGTGTGTGGGGGGGGGAATGAGGGCTCATTGAACTTCTTCATTAAATTATCAGACTAAGAAGGCAAAACCTTTGCAGGTTAATTAATTGGAGGGTCGCCATGTTGGTGGGGAAACCCCAAAGCCAAAGCTTTATACCAGGTGGCTCCTGGTGGGGGGACGGCTCAAGAAAAGACTGAGGTCACAGTTGGGCGTTCCTGTAGGCCAGATTTGTAAAGCTGATTGCCAGAAGGGAAAAGCCAAGAAAAGTCAGAATGTCTGTGTGGCAGAGAAGACCTTTCCCTCCTGGCCCAGGCCTCCACATGCCTCTGCCCCGCAGAAGCCTGAGGCTACAATCCTCCGCCCCTAGGCATTAGATCAGGGGGGACACAGGCAGGGATGGGTGTCTAGGGCTGCCTGGTAGGCCACACAATAGACCTGTCCCTCCCCAGGGCCTGAATTCATCCGGAATAGGAAGAATCACCCTCTAGGGTTCATGCTGAGGCCCTTGTCAGAGGGGATGGAAGTTTCTCCAGGGCCTCCTCACCTTCTCCTCAGCCCACTACCCTTTGTGACAGGGGGGATGGAGGCTTCTGGTTCCTAAGAGCACCTCTGTACAGCCAGTAACTTCCACCCCAAACCCTCAGCCGCCTTCATCCTCAAACATCATCTTCCTCTAGAGAGAGGGGCTGTGAGGATCCAGTATCACCCATTTTTTTCTTTTTGTGTGTATGTGTTAGTCCCGGGGCTTGAAGCCAGGGCCTTGCATTCTCACTTGGCTTTTTCCACTCAAGGCTTGGCATGCTACTACTTGAGCCACACTTCCACTTCTGAGGGTCAAACATTAATGTCATGGCACTGCTATTTCTTCCTTACTTTTTTTTTGGGGGGGGGTCGAAGACCAGGTGTTGAACTCACTGTCTGATGCTTTCACTCCTTGGCTGGTGCTCTACAGCCTGAACTCTGGCTCCAGCACACCTGTCTCCCCCTCACTGCTATTTCTACATCTCTCTTCTCTCAGGTGGGGGCCAGGGTGGTACAGCTCTCCAACCCCTCTGAAGGGTGGCTTTGGGCACTGTAGCTGTGGCAGGAGCAGGCTGATTATAGCCAGAGCAAGAGAGCAGCGATGTAGAGTCCCAGTTAGGAGAGTCCCAGTCAGGAGAGGGCCACAGAGGACGGTGGGCCCTAGATACCACCCACCACCATCACCAGCCTCCTCCAATCCCTGGTGTCTACTTGCCTGCTATCCCGGACATACCACCAGGTGGTGCTGCAGGCCTTGTAGCAAGGCTAACGGGCCCTCTGTGAACACGGTATATAGCCTGGGAGTAGAGAAGGAATGGAGAGCTGGTGTGGAAATCCTAGGCACCAGCAGGCGTGTTCCCATCATCTCTGCACGTCTCTCTGGGGAGAACTGCCTACTGGCCTCAGGACCCCTGTGCCTGGGGAGAGCGGGAGGGTTTCTCCCTTTCCAGGTGCCTGTTCCCTGCCTTCCACAGGCCTCCACCTGAGCATACTGTCAGCCTGGGATCTTCTGGAGGCTGGGGTTCAGAGTCTGGGTGGCACTGACAAGGTCTTCAGAGTGGAGGGCAATGGGCAGGGCCCTGGGCAGCCTGGGTGTCCCAGATGGCATGTTCATGAGCCAGTACTGGGGCCCTTGATAGGAACTAACCTGTTGCCACCTCCATCTACCTGGCCTTCTGGCCCTGTACCTCTCCTCTGTGGCACCTTCCTCTGCTTCCCTCTCCCCCACCCCCCAGATCTTGGGCAGACCCCAAACCTCATCCTCAACCCTGCTAGAGTCTGGGGACTTAGGTGTCGAGCAGAGACTAAGCCCATACAGCAGACCCTTTTCTCTTCTTCTCTGGGCCAAAGCGTGGAGTCTCTCTGAGGTAGGGGCAGGGGGAATCTAAGGCATGGCCACAGTGGGGCTCCATCAGGACCTCCGCTCAGATGAATAGACTGCACAGGCCTGTGGAGTGTCCCATCAAGTATCATGGTCCAGGACAGGGTTGGAGAGAGAGGAGCGCAAGGCCAGGCCTAGCCGGAGACGCTGCTAGGAACCGGCCTTGCACTTCTCCACGAGACATTCTCACTGGAAGATAGAGCAGGGCCCTTTCCTTTCACCCTACGCACCTCGGCCCGGGGAGCTGGCAGTACCTCAGGGGTGCGGCCTAACTGCTGACAGCTCTGTCACACTCCTGGGACATGGTGTCCTGGGTGAGGTGCCCGAGATGTGGGGCATGGGCTGGGCACGGACTGGGCACAGGCTGGGCGGGTGGGGCTTTGGGGGAAGGGAAGGAGTGTTTCCACAGTTGTCTGCAGGTGCTGTGCACCGAGTAGCTGGGATGGAGCCCCAGGCCCTCAGCTCAGGGCGGTCCCCTCTGCCCCTTCAGCTAGGGCCTCCATCTCCAACCACCGCTTTCCTGGCCCCACACCCCTCTAGCCAGGGCCAATCCCTGACAGCCTCCCTGGCAGCTCTTGGCAGAGCTTATCTTCCCTGGCCCTCTGCCCTTTCCTGTCCCCTTCCTATCCCCAAGGGTAGCCAGGGGCCGATTCTCCAGTTATGAAGTCTCAGAAGGCCACCTGGGGTCCGGATTGAGGAGTCTTCAGATTACTAGACATCAGGAGCCTGTGGCTGGCATGGATGTCCATTATTAGTCTCTGCTGTCTCGGTCCATCTCTGATGCTAGCCTTGGCTGATCCAGCCACTCCCAGCTCCAAAGCTGGAGCACTGGGCAACGGGTGAGGTGTGGAGACGGACTAGGCCAGAGGCGGGCCTGCTTTGGGGGAGGGGGAGGGCAAGCCACTGTATGCTCTGAGATGGGCCCTGGCAAGCCCTCCTCCAGTCCCCCCCCCAGTTCCTCGTCTTGCGGCTCTTCACTCTGGGGAAGAGGCACAGCCCCCATTTTGCTGAGCTGCCGTTTGCAGACTCCTTCCTGGGCGTTGTGTGTTGCTCCACCTCACTCATCCTGGCAGCATTGGGGACACCTCCCAACTCCCTGAGTGGCCCTGGAGCTGGAGACACCCCCCTGGGCCCTCTGCTCCTTCCCTCATGATTTCCTCTGGGGGTCCACAAAGCTGGCCTCCCTCCAGGAGCTACGATGAATCCCCTCTGGTCCAGGGCCGCTCAGCAGGGGACAGATGACAGGGCCTGCCTGCCTCATGGTAGCAGTGGTGAGGGGGAAGGGAGAGCAGGGATGGGTTGGACCCAGGGAGGCTAGGAATGGGAGCTGACACCTGTTCTAGGCCAGAGCGGTATGACTGGTCTGTTTCCTGGGGGTCATATCTAGTGCGCCCCCCTCTCTCTCTCCAGCATGGGGAAAGGGATTACTTAGAAGCCCCCTACTACAAAAACAGACAGTGCTGTCCCTTTCCCAAAAGAACAGCCCAGAAGACAGGTGCCAGTGGCTCACATCTGTAATCCTAGCTACTTAAGAGGCTGAGATCTGAAGATCATGACTTGAAGCCAACTTGGGTAGCAAAGTCCAAGAGACTCTTACTCCACTAAAAAGCCAAAAGTGGAGTTAGGGCTCAAGTGTTAGAGAAGTAGTCTTGAGGGGGGGGGAAAGGAAGGAAGGAAGGAAGGAAGGGAAAAGCTAAGGGAGAGCAATCGGGCTTCAACCCCAGGCTCCTCTGGGGCCATGGAAAGCCCCGCTGTGGCCTTCCTCCTTCGCCGGCCC